TAGTTTGGAAATAATTTCTTCCAATCTTTAGTAAAAAACAAAACTTCGTTTTAAACTGCAGATTGCAAAGTTTTAAGGATGATTCAAAACGGCATTTACTGAACATGGAATTCAATATACTAGATTTCAATTAAATCACTTAAAAATAAAGTTAAATCTTTAACACTTTCTTTAGCTTTTATTAAAATGGTTTCAAACCATTAGTATAAAAGATAACAAAAATAAAAGTCTTTTTCGTTCATATTTTTGATGATATTAAATAATCAGCCCAAATACTTATGTTTACATATATTGCTTTTTTTTTTTTTTTTTTTCAATTAAACAACACATTTTTTTTGTGTGTTTTTATAACTTTCATGACTTTTTGTCGTTTTTACTTTTTTATTTTTAAAATTATTCTGCTGGAAGATTGTTAGTAACAAATTATTTTATTGCTGAAGTTTTTGTATTTATACTGTCTTTTTGTCTTTTATCATTTATTGTGCATGTAAATTTTTGTGTGACGGAGCTCGGTGATAAGACAACCTGTCTTCTTCTTGCTCCGGCCAGGATTTTCTTTTATTGTAATTTCTTGTAATATTTATCAACGGCAAATTAAATAAATAATAAAAAAAAAAAAATAAATAAATAAAAAAATTAGAAGAAACATAAGGCTTAAGAAAGCATGACGCATCAATGTTAATTATATGCTGAGGCATATAACTAATATTAATAGTTAAACTCAAAAAAATTAAAAAGTTAAACTACCGCACAATTTTCAAACGTTATTTGTATGAGCCTTTATGACAAGAGGCCTGACAGCCTGATGCTGGATGTTATTTCTCATACTGAGCTGCACTTTTATGAACATTTTGGTGACACAAGTGTCAAGAAACCATTTTTAAATAAGTCTTTAGAAGATAGATACTATTGTAGCGGACTAGATGGAGCCAGTGTTACTACCAATGCGGCCTTCGAAGTGGTAGCAACATTGAGTTCATCTAGTTTGGGTAAAATCCGAATTGTTAAATTGTTTTCTAAATTTGGTGGTAATTTCAACATGTTACAAACGAAATAATTTAATTTTAACAACATATTTTAAATTTATAGCCTATTTAAAAAAACAAGCATAAACACTATGAGATAAAAGTTGTTTAAAAGATAATACTTTTATTGTTAATGTTGGAGTTGTTTTAAAATTTCCAACATTAAAAAGAGATTGTACTTGTGTATACGTTGTTTAATTTGCCTTAAAATTCATGACAAATATGTTTTGCGGTTGCTGATTAAGAATTCGCTGAAAAATAAGAAGAAAAAAAAAGCGGATCCAATATGGCGGACATAAAAGTTAAAAATTGTTTAGTTGTTCATAAATGGGTTTTGAGGGTTATTTTAGGCCACAAAATGGATCAAATGATGAAAGATGGTGTTAAATATACAAATAACATTTTATTTCAGTTAAAATCATTCTGGTTATTTTTCATCTTCATCTGTCTCTTCGTTGAAATTTTAATTATATTCAAAGTCTGTTTCCTCGTCATCTGCATCAGAGTCTTTATAATCTACTGCTACAGAAACCATAATGACAACAGCTTCTTGCAACAAAGCCTTCAAATTTTTTGGTGTTGATTTTCGTAGAGATGAAATGTCAATCATTTTTGTTGGTGTTGATTTTCGTAAAGATAAAAAGAGTCTGTGGTTACCAACAATCTCCTGAACACATCTTCCATAGTCTTTACTCTTGAAAACTTTCAAGAAAAACCCAAACAATATCGCTTTATTAACTTTTTGTTTGACTCTTGAGCATCCTTGGACAGTTGACCAAAGGGCTTAATGGCCGAAGAAATAATGTCTGGTCCGTAGATCAGCAATCTATGTACTGATGTTGGCATGTACCAGGGATATTCTAGTGTCTTGCAGTTGCTAAGACAAAACCTCAAAAACTTTCAACGTAGATTTCATGTCCACTCAAAATTGTTTGCGAAATTATATGAAAATGGTGGATTTGTTATTGGGAAACACAAACTATGGATGACATAAGATGATGTTATGGAAACAAGGATGAGGTTTGAGTATTTTCAAAGAAACGTCGACTGGTATTTCCGTCGTTCGTGCTGCTCAACCCTTGCATTGGCATGTTGACTAAAATTCCTAGTTGCTGCTTGAAATCTTTTTGGATCCTAGCTTTTATAGTTGTTTTTTCATGCTTGTCTTATTTACGCGCTAGCTATTTTTTCGTATTTTTTTGAATCCCAAATGAATACAGCATTCAAAACATCGAACCCAGGCGTGTAGAGTTGACACTCCGTACTGTAGATAATCGGTGGTTACCAGTCTATGCAAAACATCATCAAAGTTATCAAATTGCTTGGAAGTTGCCTGGCAGACATAACATAGACGTTTCCTTTGTAAATTTTAATTTCAGAGGTCTGCAAAAGAGGGTTGAAGATGGCTTCGGATTATTTCAGAAGAGATTTTATTCTTTCGTTTCTTGATTTACACCTACAAGTTGCAATGGAATAAGCGAAGTAAAAAATAAACTTGCATCTGGTATCGGCGGACCTTTAAAAGTCATTTTATAAATGCTTTGTTTGGATGTTCTGTCAAAGCTCCACTTGCAAATCAAAGTCATATTCAATATTTCTGAATCACTCTTATATGTAATATTGACTTAGTTCAGCAGTAAAACACGTTGAACGGTGTGGCCTAATCAATCTTGCAACTGTGCCTCAGCTTTTGATTTGGTAAAATTTAAGGTGTTGTCTGGGGGATAGCATTTTAAGGTGTCGTCTGGGGGATAGCAACATTTTTTTGCTGCCAATACAGCTAAGTATGGTGGAAAAAAGTGTATTTAAGTCTTTCTTTTTGCTTGATTTCTCAAATGCTGATACAAATATTTCGTCAATTTTAGGTCTAATAGAAGTGCTAGCGCTTCATTTGCATCATAAAAGGCTGGCAATGATAATGATAGTTGCAAGCCTTCTTTGTGTTTTGTTGCCTTGAATGGACTTGATAGTGTAACGTCATTTATAATCTTTGCAGCGTTTGAATCCCCTGAAGACTCATTTGCGTAGCGAACAATTATTCGGCAGGACTGAACTTCGTACGCATTTTTTTAGTTCTCCTTCTTATGGACCTATCAGATAAAGTTTCAAAATTCTCGGTGAGCCGACCTGTCGATTTGCACAATAGCAGTTGCACGTAGCATTCTAATAGTAGGTGTAATGTTGTCGGGAATTGAAATTACATATCCAATCTTTTCTGTCAATGATATTTCAAAATTTTCTATGATCATTTGCACATCGTTTGCAAAATATTCTTTTGTTATAATGAAGATCTCTTTCTTTGAAAGTCCATATACGGCAACCGGTGGATCTGATAAACCTGAACTTCAAAAATCTGTTGTACTTATTTAATTACTAAACATTATTTATTTACTCAATATTTAGTTGAGTTTTTTATTTTAATAAAATATATAAATGTATTTATACCGTCATTTAAATGAATTCTATCCATTTCCAAATCATTTGCAAAATATTCTTTTGATCTCGATAGTCCGTAACTACGGCAACAAAATTTTTAACACGATTTATTTATTTTGAGACTTTTATATTAATAAAAATGTATAATGTATTATAAAGTAATTTAAATGAATTCTATCCATACATCGTTGTATAAAAAAAGTATTACTTAAAGATTTAAATTGTTGCATAAATTACACATAAATTATTGTATTAATACATTTATATTTCTGTATAAATAAATTTAACTTATTATATAAATACTTCTAATACAATATAAATGCAATTTATATTTTAATTATCAATTTATGCATTATTTATGTATATACGTATATATTTATTAATTCAGTTATTAAATACTTAAAAGCGTTAAAAACATCTGTACAGAGTATGTACAATGTTTGTGTTTTGATTTTGATTGTAATTTTTTTTTAAGTTAATAATGAAGTTAGCAACACTTTTCATAAAAAATATTTTTTAATATTAATAATGTCATTAAAAAAATTACCAAGTATTCAGTTTAAAATATGAAACAAGAATAGAAAAAACAGGAATGCAATTACTTCTTGAAGATCGGAAAATGGTAATTACTGTGTGGCGTTGTGTGTGGCGATTTTTCTAAATTATTCATCTCACTGTATTGAAGAGAGAGCGTTGTTTCCGTCCTTTTCTACTTTTAATATTCTTTATAATGCTTCTAGATATCGATTATAATCAAAATTGTACAAATGTAGATCTAAAAGATCTAAGAGTTTTGTCACAGAGATCCTCGAAAGAGTATCTATCTAGAAAGCTCACGCTTCCTTCCTTACAGGTGACGCAAAAAAATATCCAGAGTTCCACTAAACTATGGATATCTTGCTTCTAAAGCAAGCGCTTTAACCACTGTTTCACGGCAGCGGCATTAATCGAGGTCAAGAGTCAATATAGGTTAATTAACCTGTTTTAGCCATCTCAAAAAGATGTATTGTATTTGATTAATGTATTTGGAATTGATAGTGAGCAAATTCAAGTTGAAATTATGTTACTTAAAAATATACCTAACATACCATATGGGACCACTTCTAAAACACTTTATTAATGGATTGATTTTCTAAATTTATTGTAAAAATTCATCCATTTATTGTAGAAATTTTTAATGTCGTTTTTTTTTATTTTAAACTTTTGTTTTTTGTTTGAACTTTTATTTTTATCAACTATACAACTAATAAAAATCAGCCTTAAGGCTGGTTTTATCAACAACTTTGTTACTACTGTGAAACTAGGATAATATTTATACACTTTATTTACCTACAAATGTGTAAGAATTTACACTGAGTGTAAGTTTTGTATTAGACTGTACTAGATTCAGGCTGTAACTTTAATTTATGCTGTAACTTAAATCAAGCCCCTTAATATAACTTAAAGTTCAGGTTTTATTTTTTTTAATGTTGATAATGTTTTCTTTTTATCATTTTCTTCATCTTTTTAACATTAAAAAAATTGAAAAAAAGATGGCGCGATACGGCATGGCATGCATGATGGCTGCTTTCAAAGTATAAACAAATGGTATATACATATATAAATTTATGTAGCTGTAAAAAAATACAATTAGATAATATGACTAAACGTACTTCAAAAGATTTAGAAGAGTTTTTTTTGGATAAATTGTAGCAAATGCAATGGTTGGGACATTTATGAAAACTTCGGAATGAAATGCAAATACAAAATTAAAAAAAACTCGAAACTTGAAATGATATGTAAAGTCTGCAAACAAGAAACTAAAGTTAATGAAATCCTTGAAGATCTAGTTTCGATAAAGTCTCAAATTTCAACGTTTAAAGTAAACAACGAAGTAAATGTAACCAAAATCATAACAGAGGATTTATTAACAAACATTTCATTAATGAAATCTACTTGTTTCTTCGAAAAACTTGAAAACGAAATGACAATAAATAACTACACCTGGGCTGAAGTTGTTAATGGAGTAAAGCTAGATCAGCAAGTAATCAATTCCGAACTAATTGGATTACGGGATCAAAATCCTATAACTAGAGAGTTCATATTAAAACCTGAGCCATCTCAAGAAGATTTACTGTATTTAATTAATGTATTTGGAATTGATAGTGAGCAAATTCAAGTTGAAATTATGTTACTTAAAAATATACCTAACATTCCATCTGAAACCACTTCTATAACACTTTATCAATGGATTGATTTTCTAAATTCAAATATTAGAACTTGTATTTTTTTTCACTTATATTAAATCTTAGTTTTTACCACTACTCCAATATCAACTTGTTCATGTAAAAAACAAAACTTCGCAACACTATGACTCAAAACAACACTATGACTCAAAACAACACTATGACTCAAAAAAGACTAGACGCTTTAATGTTTCTGTTCATAAAAAATCAGATGAAAACAAATATTAATTATGACGAAGTTATCGTGGAATTTAAAGTGATGATACCAACAAGAATTATAAAACATATTACGACCATTTGTAATTATATTATAAAATAAAGTATTAAATTTGTAACAATTTGCAAATTAAAAAACTACAAATTATACTTTAAAATGCAATTTCATCTTGCCTAGTTAAATATTTATCTAATAAAAAGAATATTGTTTCCTAAAAAAAAAGTAAAACTAATTTAATCATTATTTGATAATAATGATAAAGCTTATTAGAATATTTGGAGGTCATATCCCTAAACCGAAACCTAATTTTTGTAAGGGGTAATGAGGGTGCAGGAAACTACTCCCCCTGAATATGACACTGTTGTGCACAACCTGCGAATAAGGTCTGGACACGCTTATGTTCGGCTAATAGAAATGATCGTTTTTATAAGCCGTTTGAGAAAGTTGTGGATTTTATATCTAAAATTAATTATCTTAAATAATAACAACTTTAACGTTCTTCCTTGTTGACGAGGTTTATTGTTCGGATGCAAAATTAACAAACAATTATAATTAAACATGAGTGTAAGTAGAGAGTTGAGCTTTTACTAAAGATTCTAATAAAAATTTTATTATTTAATCCAACATTCTACACTGATTAAGTTATGACCTTTAATAATTTGTATTAAAAACTATAACTTACATTTAATACTTTAATAATTTTTTATCATGTAATAACTTTGTTTGTGATTTTATAGCAATTAAGTTAGTAATATAAAGAACATATAGTATGTAGCATATTCGAATTAAATTCTATATATTTATGGGCATAAATAACTTCAGTTTATTTCATTTATATGCTTATAACCTAATATCTTTTAGGTCCCGAGTACTGGTTTTATGCTCACCCACTTTGTAACGGAACAAGACAATCCCCAGTTAACATCTTAGAAAACGAAGTAGTTTATAACGAAACTCTTACTCCATTAGTTCTTCTTAACTACTCAACGGTATTAAATGATGCTAGCTATTATCTGCTTAATAATGGTCACACAGTCATGATGGGAATTCAAACAAATAGCAGTGTACCTATAGGCCTTATGTGGAAAGGTAAAATTATATATATATATATATATATATATACATATATATATATATACATATATATATATATATATATATATATATATATATATATATATATATATATATATATATATATATATATATATATATATATATATATATTTATTGATAAATGTTGTATACTGCTGGAAATACAGCCTTTGTCGGTTTAAGAGTGATCAATATCTTTTTTTAAAAAAAAGAAAGATCAAATTATATTAAAATAATTTAAATGAAAAAAATACAACTTTATAATGGGAATAAAAATACCATTATAAAGTTGTATTTTTTTCATTTAAATTATTTTAATATATATATATATATATATATATATATATATATATATATATATATATATATATATATATATATATATATATATATATATATATATATATATATAATGCAAGAAAATTTTATTTGTATTTAATAAAGTTTTAGATTTTAGAAATAGATCAATAAGTAATTTAATCATAAAATATCAGGAGCTAAACAAATTATAAGGAGCCTCACCATAACAAGGAAATATCGTACAACCTCCTTGAAGATCTTTGAGGAACTTTACCGTTTCAAAGTTACTAATGACCTTCCATCCGTAGTCATCATACTTTAATGCACTCAGCAACATTTTGACAATGGTGTAGTCCTTTTTGAGATGCATATGGTAGCCCATTGGGAAAGACGGTTGTTTCCGTTGCGAAACAACACGGTTTTAAGGCTCCAGGATAAACTGTCTATGAATTGCGCCATTCAATAGGATTACATGCAATATATATAGCCTGGAATAGACCGAAAATATTGTTGTAGATGCACCGCTGACTGATGAAGTTGGAAATTTTTTGATTCTGTTTACTCTGATCAGTGACTTCTACGCTATTATCAACCAATTTTCACAGTTTGAGCTTAGATATAAGAAGCTCGACATTTGATTTCGTGAGCCCAAGGCCCCTTAATAAATTGTTCAAGTCTTTCTGATTAGGGAAGTACAGTTTTCTATCGCCAACTTCATCTGCGGAATCGTAGTCAATACCTCAAGTATTTTCCTTTGCTATCTAAGTTGCTGCTGTCTTCTGAAGATGGTCAATGCCGCTTAGGAAGAGGCGGAACAGGCAGATTGGGGCTGTGTTGTACTCGGGCGATGGAAGAAGGTATATCCATATAAACGATTTAAAGGGGCATTTTTGCCAGTGAGACATTTGCTTACAGTTCACGATTTTTGACAAAATTTTGTAAATTGCAACTTCTTAAAACAAACTAGATCTAAAGCATTAAAACTTTATGAAAATAATTAAAGCTTATCTAAGTGAGAAACAACTGTTCAGTTTACCGTTTTTTCTTACAATAATTGCATGTGAAATGCGGTGCCCAAGATTTGTCTTGGTCCCCGACCGGCACGACGAAGTATGCCCTGCAGGCCTTGCACATTAAACGATTTACCTCCATAGAATGCTTTTTTACTCTCACTTTTATAAATTGCTATATATAAGTCTGCACACCTAGCAGAATGAATCAGCTGGATACAAATAAATTCTTAATGCCATATCAAATAAACAATTTCTCTTCAACTACAAATTGTTATCTCGAAAACATGCGATTTTACAAATTTCATTGCCCCGGTCACAGAAGCAAAGTTTTTCTGGAATAACAGCGATTTCTTTTTTGTTCTAGACCTAACGGGTTAGGAAAACACTTACAACCTTATTATGTAATTAACAATAAAAAAAAAAGCGGGAAAGGATTTTAATAGTTATAAAATACTTATAAAAGTTTTTTATAAGTTTGTTAAAAAAAATTTTAATTCATAAAAATGTTTCAAAAACGTCTGTTGTTTTACTTTTCTATTCAAAACTTTAATCCTTTTTTAATCGAAAATAAATTAAGGAATCATAAATTATTATTTTACAAGTATTATAATTTCCGCTTCACAATTTTGAGCAAATAGTATTTAAATTTAAAATATAGTTACTTCATTTAAGAAAAGAAAAGTTAAAAATATTTGTTTACAAATTTAATCCGCCATTTTGTAAAAAGGGCAAAAAGCGGCTTCACTTTTCGTATCGAAGTTAGACATCTAGTTATATAATATATCATTGGTGCCAGTTAAATACTTATATATATATCTACTATAGCATATTTATATGCGCAATTGCTCACTTTTTTTGCTAGCCTAAATTAAGTGAGCGTTTTTAGAAAAGGATGAGGGAAAACGAAGAATAATGAATAAAAAGGTTGCTGACCCATACCAAACCCTCAGTCGATGTTGCAGCACTCCGCTGCGAGTCAGGCTATTTGTCAGTCGATGAATGTACTAAAGGCCCCGGCAGCAGGCTATTTGACGTTAGATGAGTATGACATCATCATGCTCACCTAACTCAGCAGTATAAGATATATCCATAGTTGTTCTTCGATAAAGAGCAAAAATTGAAATGTTATTAGTAATATATATATATATATATATATATATATATATATATATATATATATATATATATATATATATATATATCTCAGTGGGAAATTGGCTAGCAAATAGCTAACTATAGTTGTAACGACAAATAGCGATAGCGAAAAGCTATCGGTATTTGTAAAGATAAAGACAGCAGTTTGGCTACAAGGACAGGTTGCTTAATAAGCTAAAAACCCACTGGCTATTGTAGCTCAAGTCATACCGTAATAAAATTGCTGTCAAAAAATTTTGATATGTAGCTGCCAATCGGCTATATATTTGTAGATACTTTGTAGCTAGCTACAAAGCTACGATATGTAGCTAGCGACACATTGCTACAATATCACAATCTTTAAAGTTCAATTATTCTCATAATTATAATAGATTCAACACTAAAAATTGAATTTTTAAAGATCTTAAAGACAATAGAAAAAAATAAAATAAAATAAAAAAAATCGCTTGAAAATCGCTATAAAGCTAGCTAGTCGCTTGCTAGTCGCTAGCTCATTTCTCACCGGGATATATATATAATAATTTATATATAAAATGATCATTTATGCTCAAAAAACTTTTTACATTTGATTTTTTCTATGAACATTGTGCCTTGAAGTTCTTTACCACTTTTACAGTTCTTTAAGTCAACGTTTTTTCACTTAAACTCTTTTACACTTGAAATTCTTTTTTAGTAGTGTGATTTTTTCTGAAGCTAAATTGATTATTATCAATCATATTTTTTTCAAAATAATAATGTAAGCACTTTTTCATACAGCGCTAGTATCACTTTTTCTATTGGTTTTGTAGTAGATCCAAGATTTAGATGCAAAACCGGTTAATAATATTGCCAGGTTTTACATTATTTTATTTATCTATTATTTTATTATAATTAATTTATCTATATTACTAATATAGAAAAGTTACTCTCAGCGAGTTTAAATAAACAACTGGATACCTCGTGAGAAACCGGCTAGCGAATAGCTAGTTATAATCGTTACGATAAAGACAGCGATTTGGCCACAAGGATCTCTAGCTTTTTTAAGTTAGTGAAAAGCTATCAATATTTGTAAAGATAAAGATAGCAATTTGGCTACGAGGACAGCTAGCTTAATAAGCTAAAGACCCGCTATTTGTCAGCCGAGAACCAAGCGGCCGCATGTCCATCTTTTGTGTTGTCGAGAAAATCATGTTTTAAAATTTAATTTGTAAAGTTTTTCTGCAAGATTATCAAACTAACTTTTTAAATATTCTTAAAAGTTGTATCATTCTTGAGACTAAATTTATTTGACACATACTTCATTAATTGTGGAATATTTATTGATAATAAACAGAAAAAACACAAAATGTGTACATACGGCCAATTGATTCTCGACTGACGTATTATAGTTAGCGTTATATCCTTATAAAATCGCTGTCAAAAAATTTTAATATGTAGCTATCAACCAGTTATAGATTTGTAGATATTTTGTAGCCAGGGCCGGCTCAGACCGTATGCGAGAAATTCGGCCGTTTGGGGCATTGCGCCAAAAGGGGCCTCGTGTAGCTCTGTGTAAAGCTAGATAAAAAGATATATATCTATTTCTAGCTAGATATATATCTATTTCTAGCTTTCTAAAAAGGCCCAGCGGGGCCCCAACAGGCGGGATTTTTTTTTAAGTTTTCTATAGAGGATTTAATAATTAAAATTAAATTAATAATGTGCATAATATATGATTTTTGTGAAAAACATATTACGAAATGGACTTGTGTTTAATCTAATAACTAGTGACACTATTGAGTATTTATATATTGATAATATATATTCTTTTATTTATAATACATATATATATATATATATATATAATAATATATAGTCTTTTAAATATAAAATATACGAACATATATAAATAAAATATAATATATAATATTATTATACATTATATTTTACTTATATATGTTTATATATTTTATATTTAAAAGACAATTATACATTAAAACACGATTTTACCCTCGTACATTAGTACTTTTCAATCCCTCCTTTTTTTTTAGGTTTTTATTGAAGGTCTCGCAAACTAAACTCGCGTCGGGCCTCGCGCTTGCTCGAGCCGGCACTGTTTGTAGCTAGCTACTAAGCTACGATATGTAGCTAACGACATATTGCTACAAAATCGCAGTGTTTAAAGTTCAATTATTCTCATAATTATAATAGACTCAACACCAGAAATCAATTTTTTAAAGATCTTAAAGACATTAGAAGAAAATAAAATAAGAAAAAAAAATTGCGTGAAAATCGCTATAAAGCTAGCTAGTCGCTTGCTCACTTTCCACCGGGTAATCTTTTTTTAAACATTGATTCAATCATATCTTCGAAGAAACTAGTTATTTTTCAGATAACTTAATGTTTTTTCATGTTGATTTTTAGAAATTTCTCTATGTTTATTGATTTTCTTTGCATGATGAGATATTTTTATGTGATTGGTTGGCAGCCAATTATTTGTTCAAATTTATTATAGATTTTTAAATATTTAAAATGTTATAAATGAGAAATTCTTTATATTTATCTTTAATTTATTTACCACTTGAGTTTTAAAAGTTGATATCTACTTATATATCAAATTTAGATTTATACTTAATTTTATTAAAAGTTTTGAATATGTTCCGTATAGCAACGGTATCATTTTTTAACATATCAATTTTAATTTCCTGAAGCTCAGCTTTCAATATTTTCAATTGATAAGTTTTTTATTTAACTATATATTCTGTATTGTTTGAAAAAATTTTCTATGTTCCTCCAAGTTTTAAAACATTATAAGTTAAATAAACTTTAGATTTAGTTTTTATTTGACAGAAGTTTGGATTATTCATCCATTTATTGTAGAAATTTTTAATGTCGTTTTTTTTATGAAAATGAAAGACAATAAATAACTCCACCTGGGCTGAAGTTGTTAATGGAGTAAAGCTAGATCAGCAAGTAATCAATTCCGAACGAATTGGATTACGGGATCAAAATGCTATAACTAGAGAGATCAAAGTCACTAATTCATATCAAGTTAAACAAACTACTGACGAAGTATTTGAAATCAACAGAAGGAAACTTAATGTTGTTGTAAATGATCTTTCAGAAGGACAATGTGATACTTTAGATATCATAAAATTGGAAAACAAACACTTTTCTCTAAACAAACCGCTTGCTTATGAGGAAATTATTCAAACCGTTCGCTTAGGTAAGATAAAACCATCAAGTAATAGACTGCTCCACCTTAAGCTAAAAAACATTGAAACTCGTCGTACTGTAGTAAATATGTGAAAATACCCTAAATTTGATTCTGCGCAGAATCCAGGTATCTATGTGAGACCTGATTTGTCTATTAACCAGCTAGCAGAGGACAAAAAACTAAGAGAACAACTTAAATCAGCCGGTAAAGAAAATTTTGTTATCTACCGGGGGCAAATTGTTCCACGACACAAAACGCAAATTTCAATCCAACATATTTATCTCGACATCCTATCCATCCAACAACCTCTCCTACTTAATTGAGTTCTTATTTAAACCCTAACAAGATACCAATTACTCAAGCACATAATAAAATTATCAAGAATTCATTCAATCAATATACTCTACCAACTGGAAAAGTTATTACAAAACACTCTAAAGCTAATTCCTCAGTAATATCTTCTATATCAATGTACTGTTTAAATAACAATAACAATCAGTATCAAGTTTCCGATCCTGTCTAGGACTCAATAAAGGTTTTCAATTACTTAGCCAAAAGCAAACCCTTGCCCTCAACCAAACTAACAATTCACTATGAATGGTGTCATGGAATATTAATGGATTAAGAAGTAAACGGCTGTTATCAAAAGATTACACCTGCAAAATGGACATAGTCTGCAAGAAACTAAATTGAATGAAACAGTCAATTACGGATCTCTAACACTTGATGGTTACCTTGTAAACATGCGCGATAGGAATTCTTCAGGTGGTGGGGTGATTAAATTCATAAAAGAAAATCTTCACCTAAGTCTTAACTTTGTTTCTTAATGACCAAGGAAAAGAACTTAATGACCAAGGAAAAGAAGCAACGGTCAATATAATTCAGTTAAAAAAACCAAGAAGATCCATTGTTGTCATTAGAGTATATCGACTGCCTTATGCACCAGCCGACTGGTTTCTTAAATTTAACCTAATAATTGTTAAAATTAGCTTAACAGGGCCAATCTGCATACTTGGCGACTTGAATGCTGATATGATGAAATCTACATTATACCGTGCAAAGTTGTTAGATACTACTTTAAATCTTGCTAATAATTAAACTGATTGCTCAATTAGATTGATTGCTCAACTAGATTGATTGCTCTAACAAGAATTACGGCAACTTCCGCAACTTGTTTAGACATTATTGCTTTACCAGTGGAAATGTTGTGTACAAGCTACTGCGTGGGTTCATTAGCCATCTGTGATCACTTCCCAGTAGAAGCAACTCTTAAAACAGCAATTACTACAAAAATAGTCTTAATCTGATGACAAGCCAAATAGTTGTTAATAGTGATAATAATTGTAACACATCTCTAAACTCAATGCTAGAGACATGGCATTTTTCTGTAATAAAAATATTCGACAACTTGATTACATTCAAGCAGTATTCTTTTAGAAAAAGCAAACCTAAATGGATGAACAAAGAAATAAAAGAAATGATTCACCTCCGTAACAATAAGGCAAAAAAACTAATTAATAACTGTAAAAATAAAGACCTTTTAACTAAACTGCAAGTATTAAAAAAAAGTTAAAAATATTATCAAGGTGGCAGTAAAAAAATACGGACAAAGTCTTCTAACTCAAAAAGACACTAGAAGCGCTTGGGCATTTATAAGAGAAGTAAGCTTCTCGTCCCAAAAAAGTGAAAAGGCGGGCATTAATTTGAATATCCTAAACACGTATTTATCGAATTCTGTGAAAGCTCCTGAAATATCTCTATTAAATTTAATTCCGGGCTGCAACATTAATGAATCATTCAGCTTCAAAAAAATTGATTGCAAATTGGTTTACCAGCATTTATCAAAACTGAAAGAAAAAACTGCTACAGGGTACAATTGTCTACCAGCTTTTATCTTAAAAAAATAGCTGCAGCCATTGCGCCGAACATTGCACCGAACATTGCACCGAACATTGCACCGAACATTGCGCCGAACATTACAGTAATGATAAACAAGAGCATTAATGAAAGCTATTTTCCTAAAATGTGGAAAAAAGCCAATGTAGTAGCAATATGGAAAAAAAAAAGGTTCAAAATTAAAACCAGAGAACTATAGACCTATCTCAGTACTTCTCATATTAGTCAGGATGTTTAAAAAGATAGCAGCTAGACAACTTTCTACTTTTTGCAATATAAATAAGACTATTCCCCCAGAACAATATGGTATTACAGAGAAATCAAGTTGTGAGTATGCTCTTGTGAATGTTGTAGATGTTTGGATGCGTAGCATCAATCAGGGTAAATTTGCAGGTGCGATTATGATTGACCTGTCTAATGCTTTTGACTCTGTTCCACACCAACTTCTTATTAACGAGCTGTTTAAAAAAAGCTGTAGCTTGAACACAATATCCTGCTTCCACAGCTATTTATCCAATAGGGAGCAGAGAGTCATTCAAGCCAACCAAGTAACCCAGTGGATGCCAGTATCGTGTGGACTTTCTCAGGGAAGTGGAATTAGTCCTCTACTTTTTAATATTTACATCCAACTGCCTCTAATTCTCATACAACTCAATTTGCTGACGATATTACACACTTTGAGGATGATTTAGACCCGTATGCTATTACAACTAAATTGGAACATACTTTTTATAAAACCAAAGAGTTCTGTACGGCTTCACGATAAATTCGTCAAAGACACAGGTTATAGTGTTTAAGATTCCTAGAAAGAAACTACCGGAAAATCTACGGACGGTAATTGACGGCTGTGTAATCAATCCAGTCAGATCAGTTAAATTATTAGGAGTAACTCTTGATTGGCATCTTACCTTAGGTCCTCATATAGATAATATTTTAAAAAATGTCATGGTATTTTGGGAGTTCTCTTGAGCCAGTCAGTACCTATCTCGGGACCTTCTGAGATTGGCTTTCATATCATTAGTAAGGTCTCAGCTTGAGTATTCTAGTGCAGTTCTCTTATCTGTGGCACCAGCATAGTTAAAGAAACTAGACATAGTTCAAAAAATTGCATCACGAATTATTTGCGGTGCTAATCGAGATGCTCATTCAGCCTCTCTTTTTACGGAATTAAAACTGGATTCGCTAAAAAATAGAAGAGAAAAGCCTATAACTGAACTTGTTCATTCTGTTATAACTAGAAACTGTCCTCCAGCATATTGCGACCTATTTGGAGATAGTGCCGATGGGGAAACTTATAATGAAGTCCACTCTCGTACTAAAATCGGTCAGAAACATTATGTTGAAACAGGCCAACAGATATTGAAAAGTAATTAACCATTCTGAGAGAGAAATAAAAAAAATAATTAAAAAAAAAATAGCAAAAATACAAAAAAATACAAAATAACAAAAATACAAAAAAATAAAAAGTTAAATAGATAAAAAAGAAAAAAAAAAAAAAAACTTTCAATACAACATTCTGTAAAGGCATTGTGCAAAGGCAAAGGTTATCGGGAGGGAAAAAAAGTAGAAGGATCAGTAGCGGAACAGGGGCCGTATTCTCATCTCTCCGTTAAGCTTAACGGAGCGTTAGTAAAAAATTTCTTTTTAACGATATTAATAAAAAAATTCTTTATAAATATAAATTTTTAAAAATAAATGTTTTATTTTCGTAATATTTTTATTTAAAAAAAATTAAATAAGATTTTCGTCATTTCTTTACTTAGATATATTGTAATAAAATTTCAGACAAAAGCTTCGTTAAGCTTAAGAATACGGCTTCTGTTACATTAGCTATTGTAAATAAAACTTTAATATAAATTAACGGCAATGTATCCTTAAGGATCGATATCGATAAGTATCGAGTATAAAAAAGAAATATGATAATAATAACAATAATAATAACAATAATAGTAATAGCAATAATAACAATAATAATAGCAATAATAATAGTAACAACAATAACAACAATAATAATAATAATAATAATAATAATAATAATAATAATAATAATAATAACAATAATGTAAAATATTGTAAATATATTGTAAATAATGTAAATATATAATGTATATAATTTATACTATTTGATAGTTTTTTTTTTCTCTTTTAGGAAGACAATATAATTACTATGGACTTCACTTCCATTGGGGTGAAAATGACACAATTGGATGCGAACATACACTGAGTAATCGATCAAATCCACTTGAGGTAACTTATGATATTTTATTTGAATTCGCTTACATTATTTTTAACTGAATTATTCTAGTAAAATGTTTTTTTGTTATAATAGTAAATTTCTTGCCTTATTTTAAACTAGTTGTAAATTTAAAACAGACTTATGTTAAAGTCAGTTATACTGATAAATTAAATTTTTACATATTCATAATTTATTTATTAGTTTTTAACTTTGTAAAGTTTTTAACGCCATTTATATAATAATCATTGCCAATTTCTGTGACCTTTACTCCAATGCAGTGACAGATCCAGGATTTTTTAGTGTTTGAGATAGCTAACTTCTAGACATGGAGCAAACTCCGAACATTTGTATGTTTATACTAATGTCAAAAAATTGCAATGATTGAAGGCTAGGGAAAAAAAAACCCTATGAATACATCCCTCCTTTTATTAAAGATAAAATTTATTCTTACATTTTCTATTGTTTTGTGTCAATTAAGGAAATTTATGGAATAGAGATTTTTTTACTTTTTAGACTTTTTATGATAAAACTGTGACAAAAATTAAGTTTTCTAATCTTATAGGAAAACCTTTAGGTCCAATCACCAACTTAAATATCAAAGGTTGGCTAGTAAAATAAACATTTATATCGTAAATAGAAACTATTGGTTTTTTTTGTAGAAATTAATGTGTTTTATGTAAACTATATATATATATATATATATATATATATATATATATATATATATATATATATATATATATATATATATATATATATATATATATATATATATATATATATATATATATATATAATATATATATATATTTAGTAAATGGTTTTTTAATTGTACAACTGTTATTTCAAAACAGGTGCACATAATTCATTACTTAAGCGAATATGGAAACTTTAGCAACGCACTCAACTATGGTGATGGTCTTTTAGTTTGGGGAAACATTTTTCAGGTTTTTTTAAGTTTAATGTTTTTAAACTTATATTTTGGAATACAAACAATGTAAAAAACTATTAAAGAAATTAATTTTTTTCTTATTATTCCTTATTTCACTCACTCCAACCCGTTATTTCAACTCAGTTTACTCACATAGTTTGAAGTTTTTATAAATAAAAGAAAATAAAATTAACTATATTTTCATAAAAAGAGCAACTTATCTTTGCTATATAATGTGCAATATAAAAACTGCAACAGTAGGAGCCATTTTTAAAAGGAGTAGTTATTTACATTTTTTGTTAAGAAGAGTTATTTTTTATTATAATGGTTGACTACTAAGTTGTTATAAAGTTGTTATTGTTTGTTTTAGTGATTTTATTATGACTCTTAAGTTCAAATTTTTTTGGGGTCTAGTTTATATGTGGTAGTGTTGTGGTGGTTTAAATAATTTTTTTTAACAAATGGTTAAAGATCAAACCTCAGCATGTATATGTTAGTACTTGCTTTTTTTCTTTGTGAATCTTTACTTGTTTCAGATTTTTGCTTCAGAGTTACAGAGTTAAAGGAAGGTTAAAAATAAGAACAAAAAATGATTTTTTTTTGGTAAGGATCCTCTAGTCTTGGAACTCTAGTCTATTTCTTTAAATATGTTAAGTTTTTCTCCTGAATTTAGGCCATAGAAAGTTAGACCATAGAAATATTTATTCTTATTAGTTCCAATATTATTCACTTATATGACACTCACATTATACTTAATCCTTATATTGTTCTTGACTCATATATTACTATAGTCTTGTATTGTTAAACCCAATATTATTTATTAATCACTGTTGTTGAATTTAATATTAGTGCTAATGCTCCATATTACTGTTTAAGCATCTGTTATTGATCCGATTATTTCTATCTCATATGTTGATAAAGTATTATTTGTGGTAGTGGTGTAAGTGAGAGGTACAAAGTTTAAACATACTGCATCACTGAAAGTACCACTCTTAACTTATTTCATTGTTGTCATTGTTTAACAGCCACCTGATATTTTGTTTATATTTTAAGATTGATAACACGATTGATGAAAGCAAATCCCCACTTCAAGATATTTTTAACAAAATTGATAGAGTTACACTAGCAGGTAAAACAATTTAAATTTTTGTTTTGTTTTTGAATATACAAACCATAAACCAATTTAAGAGATCTAAGAATAGAAATATAACTTACTATTAATGTTGTATGATAAAGTAAATAATTTGATTAAATGTTAATATTTTTAGTTAATTATTTTTTGTTAATTAATATTTAAATTAAATTTATTATCTATTTCTTATTCTTATTGTTTTTAAATAATTTGTTTTTTGACCTTTATAGATAACAAGACATTCATCAACCCAATACCACTTAAATCATTTGTTGCAGACAATTCTACTGATAGTTATTATCACTATGAAGGATCCTTAACTGCACCAGAATGTACAGAGTCTGTAATGTGGATTGTTAATCATAAACGAATGAAAGTTACATCAAATCAGGTTTTTAGTTGCTAATATAGTTTAATTTTTTTATTAGTAGAAACCATTTGTAAAAACTATTTATTGTCAAATTTTAAATTTATAAATCTTATCTTAACAAAAGCTGTTTTTTATACTTTAAAATAAGTACAAATAGTAAAATATATCAAATAAAGTAAAAGATGTAACAATTTTTGTAAATGCAATTTAGTAGAGCTGCACTGATAAGTCGATGCCTTAGAGAAACATAATGAAATAAAAAGAGGATAGCATAGTGAGATAAAAGTACAAATGGAAAGGTGTGCAGAGGAAAATTAAGAATTGCTAAACAGAAAAATATTTAACATAACATAGTATAATGTAATAAATACTCTAAGTGCAAATTAAGTTATTACCAATTTTAGTATCTGGAAATATTTCTGATCTTTAAACTCTTAGTTTATAAAAAACTGTTTTAATGAAAGAGTTAATTAACCATATTTCGAATGTTAATTTAAAAACAAAACAATAATTTTATTGGTGCCCTCCCTCCCCCTCCCCCAGACAGTTTTTGAGACATGTTGAGACATCGGCGCCCTCTAAACTGTTTTTGAGAACTGTTTGAGAGGGGCAACCAACTATTTTTCATTTTTACTGAAAAAATGAACAATGATTTGTTGCTCTCCTCTAGCAGGTTTCAAAGTTCAACCGCTTGGCAGCAATGTCTGACACCCATGTTATGTAATATTTATATTTACATTTATAATACTAAAATTCTGCTTTACCAATGTGGCAAAGCAGAAATTGTCTGCAACTAATGATTTAAGTGGTATGGGGTTGATGAATGTCTTGTTATCTATAAAAGTCAAAAAACAAAGCATTTAAAAACAATAAGATTTAGAATCAGATAATAAATTTAACTCAAGTATTAATTAACAAAAAATAATTAACAAAAATATTAACATTTAATCAAATTATTTACTTTATCATACAACATTAATAGTAAGTTATATTTCTATTCTTAGATCTCTTAAATTGGTTTATGGTTTGTATATTCAAAAACAAAATAAAAATTTAAATTGTTTTACCTGCTAGTGTAAATCAATTTTGTTAAAAATATCTTGAAGTGGGGATTTGTTTTAATTAATTGTAGTAGTCGTTATCCATTTGTATAGTTAAAATATAATTTCAAGCACTACAAAAAAATCAGTGATAGTTATTCAAAAAAATAATAATCGCATTTTGTAAGCAAAAAAGTTCAAGGTTTGTTTTAAAGACACACCTTGACAAACTTTTTTTTATATAATGTTTTTTGCACTTGAATTTTTAATTTTTCTTATTAATATCTTAAAATAGGGAAAAGAAAGTGGTTTATATTCATGACAAAACTATAGTTTTGCAAGAGCCTTATATTGCTCCCGTAAACCACTTTAGGGTACTGTGGGCAAGAGCAATTGCTTAAGCTCTGGTTTCCCTTTGAAAAATGTGTTTAATTTATTTGTTTAAACACCTGTTAATTTAATTATTATGATTAAATAAAAATTTAAAAAAAACATTAAATTCAAATTTTTGGTTTTGTATCATATTTTTAAGATCAATCTATAATAGAGTTTTGTATCATATTTTTAAGATCAATCTATAATATAATAAAAATAGAGTTACAAGTTTTAATAGACTTAAAATTTAAACACCCGAAGCGTCTCCAGATGTTGGAATTCGCATTTACGTAATTTACCCTTTGATACTAAAAAATGATAAATGTATAATGGTAATAGCCATACTTAGTAATGGTCATAAATAACTAAACTGTATGTGGCACAAGATTACATTGTATTAAAAAACGACTATGGTGTAGCATACTTATTTGTTTTATTAATCGTTAATGTAGTCTGTGTGGTAATTATGTATAAGCAGAAGTTCCATAGTACAATACAAATGTAAGAAAACTCCCAGAACCATCCCATCAGTATCCCACACGAGTATTGAATTTGTTTTTTTACACAAGCATACAGCCGAATGTTAATAAAATAAAAGTGCACCAGAAAGTTTAAAAAAATATCCAACTGTATTATGCCAATAGGACCAATTGATTGGTGCAAACTTCCACAAAACACTGACAGCATATGGCACAATTTAAATGTTCAATAAGACATGTATATGATTATAGATTATACATTTGAATATATTCTAAAAATGAAACTTTAATCCGATTAATTTATAATGTCCGATGATCAATGAACTAAGGTCATTGATCACCGGACATAAATAGTAAATTTTTAAGAATATTAAATAGTTTTTAATAGTATAACAAACATTTCTGACATTGATTTTGTTAACCTTTATTTCTTTTTTAATTGAGCCAGAATCTTGACTACTTTTTGATTTTTCAGAATTTATAAATGTTCAAGAATAGCTTTATGATCATTCTTTCTAGATTATTAAACTGCTAAAGATTTTGCATTCCAAATGGAGGTGACTCACACTGTACTAAAATTGTAATTGTACTAAAAAAGGAATCAAGCTTATTTATGATTTCTATGAGTGTGTGCAAAGATGGAGTGCAACATCAGTTTTTTTTGCAAGTTGTTGAAAACACCCATAAAGCAAAATCCTGTCTCATTAAATTTTAGTTACATTTCTAATCGTTAAGGTTCACAAAGTTTTGTATCGCCATTTTTTTGATACGGCAACCTTTAGACATTAACTGGTTTTTCTAACAATTTGGTCAAATGTTTTTATAACTGTTAACAACAAGTTATTTTCCTAAACAATTTATACAATAATATAATAGTAATATTAATACAAATAATGATAATTTTAACAATAATAAAAATAACCAAAAATATAAATGTTATTAATGATTATAATAAAAATCATAATGAAATATTATTATTATGAATAAATAAAAGTGATTGATTAATAAGGAAGATAAAGAAGACAACAAAATATCGATGTGCAAATACATACACTAAGTTATATATCATGAAGTTAATTATTATTTTTTTAAATTGAAATTTTAAATTTTCAGAATTGTGACTTTTAACAAAAGTTTTCAAATTTTAAAAAATGTAGAGATCTATTTTTCACCTAGTATTTACTTCGTTTTGCGGTTTGCGTTATCACTTTCAAAATATGATCGAGAATGAAACACCCTAATATATACTTATTTGTTTAGATGAAAAATTTTCGATTGTTAAAAGGCCATTTACACAACTCAACTGACTCTGTTGAGTTAGAGAGCTTGATCAACACCTTTAGACCAACGCAGCCGTTATTTGGGAGAAAAGTGTACACAAGTGTTCAACTAATGAACGGGTCAAGTTATAACTCGACAAATTTTTTCAACAAGTCAAGCGAAATTTATAATTCTACCTCGTTTTCGACAGGTTCTGTCATAAAGACCACGATTGAAGTTCTTTTATTATGTTATGCATTTTTAATCTTTTTTTAATTCACCGTTCACTTTATATATATTTTACATCATACTTGATGCTTTTTTCTTGTATTTTATATGAAATCATTTGATTTTACACCAAGTTTGTAAGCTTTTGTTTAAGTATTGAAATAATATAGTTATAACTCATAATATTTTTTGAGAATAAATATTTCGATGTAGAAATAAATTGTAAGCAAACTTAACATTTAGATTTGTTAAAAATTTTTATATTACTTAATTAAATACTTTTTAACTTTTTTAAAAAAAATGTAATTGGATTTTAAAAATTTTGATCTTGAAAGTGACAAATTTCTTTTTACTTAAATACAGTGTAACTGTAGTTAGTATTCATTTACATAAATATTAACCTTACATGTTCACTTTGTTAATGGCTTTTTTTTTTTTTACATAATAGATACTCTACATATTTTTCTTTTTAGGAAAATTGATTTTATGCAAAAAAATGTAACCATTTTTACATAAAATCAATTAATTTTATATTTACATATAAATTTATATTTACATTACACGTTTACTTTGTTAATGGCTTTTTTTTCACTTTTTACATAGTAGATATTCTATATAATTTTCTTTTTTAGAAAATTGATTTTATGCAAAAAATTTATATAGATTTTTTATTGTTTTTATTTCTCAATTCAAACAAGTTAATTTAGAATTGATTGCAAATTTACTTAGTGGAAAAACCAATTTTTTCCATTTACATTTGCTGAGCACGGTTGGCCAAAGAGACCGCCAGATTTTATGTTGTGTCACTTGAACGAAACTTTTTTTATTTAAGAGTATTTGTTTTATAAAAATAGAATGTAGCGTTTTTAAAATCCGCAAAAAGTGCTAAGGGTCACAAATTAATTTAGAATATGTGTCTTATAAAAATAGAATATAAAGTTTTTAAACTATAAAAGTCGGAACAAAGTCCAAAGGATCACAATGGGCACAAAATAATAAAATTGAGGGGCCTACCCCTATTGAAGCATTTTAGACGCCCATTGTAAGTAAAATTGTTAATTTATGGTATTTGTCTTATACAAATTGACACAAGTGTTTTAAAATTGAAACAAAGAACTAAAACTCACAAATAAAGCAAAAAGATTAAATTAATAGGGACCTAAGTCCATTTAAACATTTTAGATGCCTGCTACATATAAAGACAATTTAAAAAACTAAATTAAAAAAATCAATATTTACAATATTAATTTATATTTTTTACACAATCCAAATATACATTTATTCATTTTCCTGCACTTTAAAAAGCAATATGTCAAAGTTAAAGATAAATTAAAATCTTCTTTCATTGAAATTTATAACAGAGGATAACAGTTGTTCTCCTTGTTGAGCATGGTCTTCTGCACGTTTATATCTACTCCACGTAGGTTTAAATTTAAAATGAATAGCCTCTCCACACTGTTCAGCAAACTTAGCTAGATCACAGTTAGTGTTCGACAAAGGGCTGAACATAACACAGCAAGGTGTGAAACTTCCAGCTTAAAGAACATTTTTTCCCCTGAGCCTGTGCAAGCTCTTGGGTAGAAAGGAAAGAATTTTTAAACACAGTAAATGCCATTTTATACTCTGTCAAAAGAATTTGACCAAAACAGGAATCTTTTACTATTTTAAAGCCTTTCAAACACTGAATTATAGGTCTCGGTTGAGGAACCTGTAATGGTACCACTTTATCAAATTTATTCAGGTTTTTCAGGATCTTGTTAGAATTATTTCCGTCCCAACCTCTACCTTGATGCCCTCCCTGATAAACACTTTTAGTTTTCAGCCATCAAATTCAGGCCAAATATTTATATGTAGACATTCTAAAGTAGAAACAACTTTAATTAAAAGATGTAAATCAGGAGATGGTACCAAATGCTGAATTAGAGTATCTGGACTCTTCTCTAGATAGAGAATCCTTGGATGTATCACATTCATAAATTGTCGCATGTTAGAATTTTAGATTTATTTTAGACACTGTATTTTTCATACCAATAATCAGGACTTTCAAGAGAGAATTAACTTTCCACATTCTTCATATTTCAAACTTTCACACCACAGGCATGCTTTTTTTCCTGCATAACCTGATAGACCAAACACAGCATTAGCGCACTTTAAATTAAATGCTACAAAAAAATTGATAATTGTAACTTGACTTTTTCTAATATAATTCTTAAGTTACAATTCGATTCAGGAACATCTTTAACAATAGCAAGAATTTGACAACGTCGAACACCACTATTCATATACATTACAGAAGACTTTTTTTTTTTTTTTATTTACATCAAAAACATTGATTATCCATATCCATTAAATTTCGTACAAATGCAGAATGAACGTCTAAACAAAGTTGGTTTATCAAATCCATTGTGAAAGATGATGACTCTTGAACATACACAAGATCCTTTTCAACAATTCCCAACTCATTGTCTAGGAAATCTATCTGTAAAGATGTGTAAATAGATAAGTGTCATTACTTTGTCACATTCATATAGTGCCATTATATTGTATATAAAAGTTACTAAATTACTTGTTTTACTAATCTTCTATTTACCTTGTTAGAAGCACATCCAACAGTTACATCCAACGGGTTTCCCCCAGTTGATAAAAAAAATGTTGTCCCTGTTGAAATGCAGTCTGCACTCATTTTTATTTTGTATTATACCTGAAGCAACTTGTTCAGCTTGAATGCTCCCTAGACTTGTGGAAAGAAAAATCAAGTTTTTTACAGCAGTTGAAGAAGAACAGTTGTGGGCATGTCCTGCTAATTAGATTGAGTAGCATTGTCCACAGAGCTTTGATTTATTGGCAGAAAAAGATATAACTGGTTCCGTTTCACTAATTGGGAGCATTCCATTTGAATTTATGTTCAACAAGAAGTTACTGGAAGAGAAAAGATTTATTTATTTCCATTCAACTTTTAAAGGTTGAATAGAAATAAATAAATCTTTTCTCTTCCAGTAACTTCTTCCAGTAACTAACTTCTTCCAGTAACTAACTTAAATCTTTTCTCTTCCAGTAACTTCCAACACTAATTAGTGGTTGCTTGCAGCCTTGTTGGAAGCGAAAATGTTTAAAAAAAAAAAAAAAAAAGTGAAGTACAAAATTATAAAGATATAAGTGCTTCATTACAATTTACAATTTGCTATAAATAGTAAAAGTATATATTTTTTAATAACAAGGTTTAAAATAAAAATTCGTAATAACGTTTTTTTATAACTTATTATTGTTAAAGCGTATTTTTTTAAGACTACTGATTTCTATATAGATGGTATCTATATCTAAAAAAGTTAATATTAATAATCTTAAAACTTAATAATAAAAAAACAGAAATATTGATTTTAAAATATAGTTTTACATTCTACCTTAGACACTTTCTCTCCCCACTGGCCTCTAGGTGTATTACCGGACTTGATCATGTAAAGATTTCTTCTACAACTGGAACAAACTACAGTTGGATAATTGCTAATTAAATGGGAATATATATACATTTTCATACAACCGGGATATATATACATTTTCATCAAATCTTCTATTGTTGAATTTTACAGGAGATAAAGGCAAAGACCTCGCTCCAAAAATTCCCAGCAGCAACAACAAGTTGCATTTCGTTGAAAAGAAACAGTTGACATGTTAACACCAGCCATTTAATTTTATTGAAATTAATGTGAATTATATCCAAAAAAAATGCAAACTTAACATAACACCATTAAGTTAAAATATTTAAATTTGAGAATACTTTAATTTAAATTGCAATCATAAAAAAAACTAATGCAAAATTCCTTTTATATAAAGCATAGTCATAAGAAATATATATATATATATATATATATATATATATATATATATATATATATATATATATATATATATATATATATATATATATGTATGTATATAAATGTATATAAATGTATACATATATATATATATATATATATATATATATATATATATATATATATATATATAAAAAGTCAACAGCCTAATATATATATATATATATATATATATATATATATATATATATATATATATATATATATATATATATATATATATATATATATATATATATATATATATATATATATATATAAATGTATATATATATATATACATTTATATATATATATATATATATATATATATATATATATATATATATATATATATATATGTATACATTTATATACATTTATATACATTTATATACATATATATATATATATATATATATATATATATATATATATATATATATTATATATATATATATATATATATATATATATATATATATATATATATATATATATATATATTAATATATACATACATACATATATATATATATATATATATATATATATATATATATATATATATATATATATATATATATATATATATATATATATATATATATATATATATATATATATATATATATATATATATATATATATATATATATTAGGCTGTTGACTTTAGGGTAAATTTTTGGTATCTCTAGTTTCCTGTATATAAAATAGATGAACTTTGGTTTGAAAGTATCTGACAAGTCATTGGTTTTATTTATTTTTTGAGATCACCCACCATGACCCTTGATTACACTCTGGGTCCCAGTGATTTTTTTTTTCTTCAAAAGTATATCAACTTTGTTTTTATCTAAAATTATTGCTCTTTTGAGGCCCAGTTTGATATGATAAACTATAAATCTTTTAAATTCTTGTTATACGACATTTAAATATGTTGAATTTGAAATAATGACTGCATATAAGCTTTTTTGATTTAAATATTAGTCAGCGAATTATTGTAAATATATAATTATATCGAAATATATTTAAGACAAAAAAGTTTATGTGCAGTCATTTTCATCAAATTCAAAACTTTAAATGAAATTAGGACTGAAAATATCAAAATCTAAAAACAAACATTCAAAAAACAATTTGAGTTCATAGTCTTAGAAAAATATTATATTTTTATGGAGAAAAATTCTAGTCCTCTCTTGTGAGATCATATATATAATGGATGCTCCAAGCTGAACTGGATCAAGATTAAATTATGACACCATATACCCAATTGAATAGGTGTCAAATGAAAGGTTCTGTTAAGGTTTCTTACTTTACAGATAATATGCTCAGAGTAGGCATTGAACCTCAGATCTATTCCATCTTATGCAAGTGATCTAACCATTACACATAA